GATGGCTCATATAAGTGATGGAGTTCAAAAATCACACACGGTCCTAGAGTCACTGTAGAAATATAGGAACATCGGAATTCATCTGATACAGCAATGGGGTTTTTCGACTTCAGTTAGAAGTTATCATGTGGACAATCATCGACCTTCAATATTTCTGAACTCGGAGGCATTTGCTGAATGACGTTACCGCTGTTCAGTTACCTGTGATCAGTTACCGCTGTAAGAAAACAATTTGCCTAAAAGTGATGAAAATTAGACTGTTGGTTTAGAGCATGCAAGTAATTTACCTTGCTAAACGTGTTCCATCCAAGTCGCAAACTTGCGCATTTGGATCGCGTCCCCGCCCCGTGCAGTCATTCAATAACTGAACAAAGCTGGGCGTCCCATTTGACGCCATTATGGCGCAAAAGTTGTTAAGTTTCACAGATTTCCGCCGCCTATCTCGGCGTAATCGTCGGCCACAAAATCACCGAAACAAATAAAGGTCCCAGTTGTATGCAAGAGCACATCGTGTTGTGATGTAAGGCAAACTTTGGTAATTACCTTCATTCATAAGGCAGTTACAGAAATGTAATTAAAGCTGCTAAATCGAAATGCAACTTCATTTGAGCAAAGCGGCGAAACTAGATTGAACGCCCGAAACACCAAACATTTGAAAGCCAGTCGTATTTGTCTGTATCTCTGTTCCAATTTGTCCCATTCGCAGCCAGCTTCAGTTGCCTTCCACGTCCTGGGAGTTCGTTTTACGAATCGTGTCCAGACTAACCCGTGCGATGGTTCGTCAGGGGCGGCATGACTATGCTGCACAGCTCGATGGTGGAGTCGGAGGACGCCCCAGACAACGCAGCTGAGCTGGGCCGGCAAACGGACCACCGGGCCAAGTAAGAGCTGAGGGATGGGGAACTGATCCGAGACCAAGTAAGGGCTGAGGGACGGGGAACTGATCCGAGGCCAGGTAATGGCTGAGGGACGGGAACTGACCCGAGACCACGTAAGGGCTGAGGGACGGGGAACTGAGTCGAGGCCAAGTAAGCACTGAGGGATGGGGAACTGATCCGAGGCCAAGTGAGGACTGAGGGATGGGGGACTGACCCGAGACCAAGTAAGGGCTGAGGGACGGGGAACTGATCCGAGGCCAAGTAACGGTTGAGGGACGGGGAACTGAGCTGAGGCCAAGTAAGCACTGAGGGATGGGGAACTGACCCGAGGCCAAGTAAGGGCTGAGGGACGGGAACTGACCCGAGGCCAAGTAAGGGCTGAGGGACGGGAACTGACCCGAGGCCAAGTAAGGGATGAGGGACGGGGAACTGACCCGGGGCCAAGTAAGATCTGAGGGACGAGGAACTGACCCGAAGCCAAGTAAGGGCTGAGGGACGGGGAACTGAGCTGAGGCCAAGTAATCACCGAGGGATGGGGAACTGGTCCGAGGCCAAATGAGGACTGAGGGATGGGGGACTGACCCAGGACAAAGTAAGGACTGAGGGATGGGGGACTGATCCCAGGCCAAGTAAGGGCTGAGGGACGGGGAACTGACCCGAGGCCAAGTAAGATCTGAGGGACGAGGAACTGACCCGAGGCCAAGTAAGGGCTGAGGGACGGAAACCGACCCGCGGCCAAGCAAGATCTGAGGGACGGGGAACTAACCCGAGACCAAATAGGGGCTGAGGAACGGGGGACTGATCTGAGGCCAAGTAAGGTCTGAGGGACGGGGAACTGACCCGAGGCCAAGTAAGGGCTGAGGAGCGGGAACCGACCCGAGGCCAAGTAAGGTCTGAGGGATGGGGAACTGACCCGAGGCCAAGTAAGGTCTGAGGGACGGGGAACTGACCCGAGGCCAAGTAAGGGCTGAGGGACGAGAAACTGACCCGAGGCTAAGTAAGGGATGGGACCTAGAGACGGGGTAACACCAGGCTGCTTGGTGAGGCTGGTGGGAGTGGAAGGCGCAAGGCTAGGTGAGACATGAGGGAAAACGTGGCGCAAGACTGGGTGCGCAATGACGAATAGTTGGACACAAGACTAGGTGAGGGTTGATGGACGGGTAAGTTGAATCGAGGCTGGATATGGAGTGAATGATGGTGTGACGCAGGACTGGACATGCAGTGACGGTCATTTTGTCACGAGACTGGGCGAGGAGTGGCGGACAATGTGACGCAAGGCTGGGTGAGAAGTGACGGATGGACGGTTTGGCACAAGGCTGGGCAAGTGTGACGAACAGTGTGCCACCACGCTTGATAAGTGATGAGGCACAGTGCGACACCAGGCACAGCAGCGACGGAGCGATGGGAAAACACACAGCTGAGTGAGAACAAGAGAAGCTGATGATTGGCAGTGGCTTCGTCATTTTCGGTGATCTCGTTGTCCATATCATTGCGTAAAGGCTCGTAGCGCTATCGCCCACAAGACCGTGTGATGATCAGGACTGGAACTGGTGTGTTCCGTCGCTGTTTCTGAACACATCCTGCTTAATTTGTTCGCAATATGGGGGTTCGTGGAGTGCAACCGGCCATGCGGACTCAAGTTCCCCCCCCCCCCCCCGAGTGGTGATAAAGGCCACGGGAATGTTCATGGCGCGAGACTGAGCGAAGGCCGGTCTCATTTACACAGTTAATGTGCATCGCCGTGTTGGGCGGTGCAGGTTCTCACCTGGTGTCGCGCCCACAGGATCTTCCTCTACGCCACCCGGTTCATCACTGTGGACAATGTGGTCACGTCCTTCACGACCATCACCGACTTCTCGACGACCGTGTCGCTCTCGCTCGGCTGCACGATCGGTGGTCAAGATCTGCTGACGCGCCGCTGCGTACTCACGCTGCTCGGCGGCTAAAGATGGCGCTGGCGACGGCAACTTTTGGTATAGATGGCAGGACGGTTGATGGGTCTTTGCCGCTGGCAACAGTAGAGCGTAAATGAGTATTTCCTCACGCGTCTGCACCCAGTTGGTAGGGTTCGTTGGGATGCATGTGCTCTCCTCGAGATGACGTGGTATAGGCCCGTCCGGGCACACTGATTAGCTCTTACGCAGCAGATTGTATCGGACAATATTTCTCTTGGGGCCCACGGGTCGGCAGGTGCATAGCGGTTACACACGTTATTTTTTTGTTTTAAGGTTTTATTGTTGTTTTCTTTGAATGCTATTGGCATATAGATGAGTGAAATCCACGCGATACTAAGATCTGTGTCGTTTCCACTTGATATGCCACCCAAGGATTGCGTATGGTTATGCACGTATAGGATTACGGATGGTCAAATACAAATACGTTTGCTTACAAAACGTAACGATTATTGTGTCTTGTCGTGAACCAATAGGGTGCAAGCCGAGCACCTCTACTGATATATTTGTACCACACTGTGTCTTGAAGGGCACTACACAATGTGTATTCCGAGCCAACACCCTGTACCACATTTCATAAAGAGACTACAAAACCGGGTGTACCGCCGGACCCACCGACATGTTTTGCGATCATAGTACTAAATAAACCCCTTGATTTCGATACAGCGCGCGATGTCAGTCTGGCATAAAATTGCAATGGCTGCTGTTGAATGTGAAAGGATACCATGCTATGAAAATACCTCAAGATATACCTTTAATCTTCGTGGAGTGCAGAGCAAGTGTTTCTTACTCGCCAAGGGTTTAAGCAAACCGATACAAGGGGCAGAACAAGTGTGCGCGACCAAAAAAAAAAATAAAATGCCGTACCGCGCACAACGTCACCGTGGACCTTACCTGGCATTCCGGGTGGATTCAAAGGGGCCAGGCGGGCCACCCTTCCCTCCTACTAGCCAAATTTACGCAACATATAACACATGGATAAACCTTTAAAGAAAATCTAAGCAGCTTTGGCGAATAGAAGTTTGCATTAAACATCCTTGCAAAGCAACAAGTGGAAGCGAAATCTCATGTTTGCCCTTGCCCTTGCCCTTGCCTGACATGATTTGAACCAGCTTGGTCTTTTCCAACAACCGCGGCTGGCCGGAACTGGCCCAGCCCGCAGGCCCCGCGGGGCCGTAGCATTCTTTGCAAGTACACATATATGTACGTAAACAGCCGCTGCTGTACATTCCACGAAACACTTACGGTACATATTGAGGCATGCTCTTTTAGCATGCGATCATTTCACGTTCAATAATAACAATTGCGATGTTCCGTCAGACTGCCGCCGCGCGCAACATCGAAATCAAAAGGTTTATTGAATACCGTGATCGCAATACATGCCCCGTTGGTCAGGCGTTAGACGTTTGTGTGGTCTCTTGATGAAGAGGCAGTACAGGGTGTTGGCTTGAAATACGCTGTGTGTGCTGCCCTTCAGACACAGTGTGGTACAAATATGTTAAAAAGAGTGCTTGGTCACCATTGAAGCCCGTGCACATTGTGTGATACGGCCTGAAGTAATCCTCTAACCACTTTTTTCGCTGGCCAAGATGCTGGTACGGACATCTATGAATATTGAGATCGGGGAAGTTGAACACTCGACCGGCGGCCGTTTCACTCCTAGAAGGGAATCTGTGGGGGTTACCGTTGGAGCAAGGTTTACCAGCTGGTCTGCAGGAAGAGTTATTCGAGGACACGGGGCGAAGTTTAGTGATGAGAGGCAGATAACCGACCAGGGGCGAATTTCCATGCTTCCGAATACTTCCGATGAGTCCGTGACTTTTCAATGAAGTGACCAAAGGATTTTTAAGCTCGCTGAGAAACAACCCGTGATTTCAAACCTTGCTAACCTCTGAAACCAAATACATGGGCTAAGACACAGTTCAACCTTTAGTACGCTTAGAGAGTTGCTTTGCTATCTTGATGACAGAAAGGTAATGGCGCACATTGAATAATTATAGTCCTGTTCAATGTACACCATTACCTTTCATGACCAGTGCATTCGGAAATGCTTGTCCATGCCACTGCACGGTTGCTTTAATCAGAGTATGTGTCTCATAAAGGCACGAGACAACCGGATATAATGCGAGACGCCCAGAATTATCCTTGGATATCACAATGCACAGGCATTGGCTTTGTTTACATTTAGGCAAAATGTTTTTGTTTTCGGCATCAGAAACATAGCGCAGAAATGAGGCGAAACTATTTCACAATTATTATCGTATCGCTCGTCGGAAATGCTTGTCTTCATAAAAAATTCAATACCACAGATAAAATTGAATTACACGGTAATTCTTCTCACAAGAAATCTCCCCCAGAAATGTCACCGCGTCAAAACACACCCGAAAAATCGCAAGTACATCCCCTCACGACGACTGAGAGCCCCAACGAGGAGTCTCCTATCATGACGAACGACGACATCATATCGCTGCTGACCAGCCGCGGCTTTCGCGTGAAAAATTTCACTGACGATCCGCCGCTGGCCCTCGTCGGAGACATCGCCTACTACCCACAGCAGGTGCTGCCCGAGCTGGGCTCCAACGACGACCGCAGCAACGTGCAGAACAAGCGGCTGTGGGTGGATGCTTCGGGCGCGCAGCAAGTCTGGTACTACTTCGACCAATCGACGCAAGCTGACAAGGATGTGTTCCACCAGGCGGTGGCCACATGGCAGAAGAGTTCATGCATCAAGTTCGAGCAACAGGCGCCGGGCGCATGTTCGGAGGACCGCGGCCACGGCGCCATCTGCGTCGGTAACTTCGGCGGCTGCTGGTCGCTGGTCGGCAACTCGTACAACGGCGGCTGGCAGAAGACGTCGCAGAAGATGTCGGTGCAGCCGGACGGGTGCGAGATGGTGGCGGCGGCGCACGAGCTCGGTCACGGCCTCGGCCTGCAGCACCAGCAGGCTCGCGATGACCGTGACCAGTACATCTTCACCAACTACCACAACCTGGACATCAAGCTCTCCGGCGACCTGGACAACACGGTGAAGCAGGCCTGGAATCAGGCGGCCTCGTGCAGCGCCGGTCAGACGGTAAAAGTCCCGATCCCCTACGACTTCCTCTCCATCATGCAGTACGGCGCCTCCGACTTTGCAGAGGAAGACGGGCGTGTGGTGTACGGCGCAAAGGATCCGCACCACCAGTACATGATGGACTACCATCGCAATGCCGGCACCGCACAGACGCACTACGACAAACTGGTCATCAACACGGCCTACAAGTGCACGAACCTGTGGCGGAACACGTGCAAACAGAACGGCAACGTGCCGGCCAAGTGTCTCAACGGCGGTTATGTCACCAGTGATTGCAAATGCTCCTGCGCTGACGGATACTCCGGGTCAGCGTGCGGCAGTAAGGTGGGACCGCTCTACCCCGTGAAGGACCGGGCCAAGACGATGCTGGACATCCAGCAGCCCGGCAAAGTGGAGCTGGCGGACAAGGGCATGCACCTGAAGAATAACCACTACATCCTGAAGGACTTCGTGTACTTCCAGTTCGTGACGGTGGCAGTGAAGACGGGATACCCTCGCCAGCTGGCGAACATCCGCGTGCACCAGCCCTTTGACGCGATTGCGGAGGTCATGGCATCACGCGGTGCGCAGGATTTCATCATGCAAAACATCGCCATCGCTGATTGCGAAATGTCAGGTTTCTTTTATTGGGGCGCCTCCGCCGCCAACCAGCTGCGCACTGAGTGCATCACGTCCCTCTTCAACAACGAGCTGCCGGCCGAGCAGCTGAATCTCCGCGGTCGCAACCGCACGCTCGACATCGTGGCGATCGGCTTCCTGGGCAGGCTCTTCCACCGAGCCGACACCAGCATGCGGGCGTTGGAACTCACGCTGGACATCGAGTTCGCTGTGAACGCCGCCAAACAGCTGCGGACGTTCAAGACGCCAGCAGACGATCCGGGCCCGCTCGGGGACCCGATGGCGGATGGCGGAAAGCCCAGTGCGGGCGTCATCGCCGGCATTGTCATCGCAGTGATCGTGGTAGTGGCGCTTCTCGTCGGTTTGGTGTGGGCGTGGAAGTCAGGCAAAATTGGGCCTTGAGGCCGGCGACGAACATTAGCAGTTGTCTTCGTGTAAAGGTCTAACCAGCCGAGTCATGTAAGGCTCACCGGTGTTGTCGTACTGTGGCTTGTTTGCTCTAGCTTCGAAAATATGCTGGTGAATATTAGCGAATCCCCGCGTGCCTGTCGAGACGCCTGTCGTCGTTAACAGACCTACCGAACGACCCCTTCCGCGGGCTCGGTTTTGTCATCAATTCAGAGAAGCCCACGTCAACGCAAGCATCGAACTTTTTCACTCGCAGTCGCGGCCATTTGTCCCGTTTACAGATCTTGGCACGCTTGGCTAGAAGTCCGCGCTGAGCAAAAAGTGCGCCCCCAAACCCCGCTTTCCAGTATCGGCCAAATCGCCTCTACACGGCGTCGTTTTAGGGAGCAGTACAAACACCGTTTAAGGAGTAATCAAGGAGTCGTTCGACGCCGAAAAACTTTCGCCCCAAAACCCCCAGCGCAGGGCCGGCCAAAAAGCGCAGCGCTGCACTGTGTACTTTATCGCATGGTGCCATACTCCTTTTGAAAAGCATCATAGCGTCTTTTGACACCATGGTAGGTGTCCGTTTGACCGGCTAATGATACCTTGAGATTGAGACACTCTGTGAACTGTGGGTCACGTTTGTTCACAGCCGACCGTCAGAGTTGCACGGCTTGCCTTTGTTTTGATCAGGCATACACACGATGTGAGCGACTCAGGGTGTATTTTGGCATTTAAAGCATCCAAACCACGGGAGAAAGGTCATAAGCTGACCCAACTGGCAAGCATGTATTAACAAAACACATAGGCCAAAGGGTAAAAATACAAGTCAGGTCAGGTTCGACGCTTCAAGTTACCCCTTTCAACCAGATCAGCCGGCACACGGGCACGCTGAGCTTCCAAAACTGCTCAGCATCAGCAAATCGGCCACATCGACCACAGGGTCAAACAGCCTCCACCACGACTGACAACTTGGCAAAACTCGCCAGACTGACTCGACATGAAAAAAACACTGAAAACTCAACGAAAATGGGCTGTAGCGACGCGATCAAATGAACCTCCGAACTACGAGATCTACAGACAATTATGCAGACTGAATCGACATCACCAACCTTTTACAGGCCACAGCGGACCATAGACACTATTACCGAACACATGCCAACTAACCTGGAACGACCAGTTCGGACACCTAAAAAAAGTACAAAGGGTCGCACTTGGGGGTAGCCGACAGCGTCAGTCCAGAATGATTACCCTGCGCTCTTAGCACGGGCAAACCCACCTGGTATATCAGTTAGCTATTCTTGGCATCGAATGCCGCATAGCCTGTGAGTTAGCAGGGCTTGAATGACGTTGCTATAAAGTCATGCATGCTTGAATGCCGCATAGCCTGTGAGTTAGCAGGGTTTAAACGACGTTGCTATAGCATCATGCATGCTTGAATACCGCATAGCCTGTGAGTTAGCAGGGTTTAAACGACGTTACTATAGCGTCATGCATGCTTGAATGTCACATAGCCTGTGAGTTAGCAGGGTTTAAATGACGTTGCTATAGCGTCATGCATGCTTGAATGGCCTTGGAAATCTCCACAAAATAATCTTCACATCTTAGCTAGGAGTGCAGCTCAGAAATTAGATGGTTTAGGTCCAACAGGGAGAGTATTACATTGGCCTGGGGTTTAGAAATTGAAAAGCCACAATGAAGATCATTCGGTGCAGTTCAGAGCCCTGTCCTTGATGCCTACACTTCCTTCCTGGTTTCATTGGCTTCCAGGAGTTTCAGCAGGGCATTTTAGGCCGGCATCAGTCGCTCTTCGCAGAATATTCATTTTGGCCACAAAGCAACCAAGGGTGTTTTCCACCGAAGTATTCATTTACAGGTCTGATACATTTTGTCAAGCTAACAACTAAAAAATACGTTGAAAGGCACCTCTCAAAATCTGAAAGTTATCATGTTCTTCGTACGTGAGTAAGAAATAATCCAAATATTGGTCCAGTTTCGTATTAAACCTCAAATGATGTTACTCATGCCATTAAATTATAGACCGCAAAGACGAGCTGTCCTCAACAAAATCGGCGAGGCAGACATCACTGCCGCAATTTTGGAGCAAATACGCCATGCACCTGGGAGCTCAGGGTTTCGTGCATCATTGGAAAGTTCAGCATAAAACAGCATGGCCCGAGATTGGTTACTGAGGTTACTCCTCCAAGAAAGACGGCACGTGCATCCTTCTGGAGAACGTTAAGATGATGACGCCAAGGCATCCAGACATTCATCGGCTGCTCACAGCTAGCTCCAGGAGGCAATCATCCACGAATGTCAAGTCCTGGCCAGTTACTTAGTTCTCCAAAACCACACTACGAGTAGAGTCAAGCGAACTCAGCGCACTGGAGACAGCGCACTGGGAGGAAAGTCGCTGAAGGAAATGGAATCATATGACTCCCAGTTTGACAGCATTGTTTTCCAGCACAATAATGGCTTCCGACATTTGGGGTACTAGTCGAGTTGTCATGTATTTGCCTCCTATGTGAGACCCTGTAATCTCAACTACCGCGATTTTTTCGCGGAGATATGTTCTATGTCACGCGGAGCTCCAAATTATCTTAGTTGTGGCTTGTGGAACTTTGAGCATTTCTCAGAATTCAAGATAGCGGCAGTCGCGATCTTGAATTTTGTTCCAGTTTCAAAGTTTGCTTCTCGATGACTCGGAGGGTCGCCTGACACCGCGGTGTCAGACGCGACAAATGTGTCGTGTCAAACCCTCACCGAGACTGTTTTTAAAGCAAGGAGCTCATTTCTGCAGTTATTTGTTGCATATGAGACCAAAATCAAGGTCAAATCGTGAGGTTTAAGGTCAAGTTTGATCACAAATAACAAAAATGATCGATATATGCCCTTTCTTATCTTCTCGTCCTCATTGTAAGGGTACCAACTCACTGAAGCTGAATGTCTCATATACCGCAATGGCATACAGATGTGCTACATATCCGGCACATGCACTACAGCAGACACTTTTCACTTGGTTGTGCACGTATAGTCGAGGTGATATGCATATATTCCTATAACAGCGTCTGCAATGTCAACTACTGCTAGTATGATGCAACTTGTTTTTAGTAGCTAGGAGAGGCAAATGAACTTGGTTACTGCTTGCACAATTTGCACTTTGCTCGGTCAGCTGCTGTACGACGCTGCCTGGTCAACTTCTGGGTCCGCAGTAGAACTGGCTGACAGTGTTGAGACTCGACTGGCGTATTTCACTTCCTGACTTCCCCCCCCCCCCCCAAGAAGCTTCCCCGTGACTCCCCCCCCCCCCTTCCCCGAAGAAGAAAACCTAGAGATATTGCCAACTTCGGTTAGAGCATCGAGGGCTCAGCGGCGGCAGATGCTCCCAGAGTGCTCCTGGATGTAGTGACCTGCAACTGCAACACTGAAAGCAAGGTATGCAGCGTTGCACAGTGCAGATGCAGCAGCCATATCGCGGGCGTCTGGTTACAGCCTACTGCAAGCATGAGGGAAAATCCCTCGCAAGAGCCGTTGCACCAGCGAGCAGATGGACATCGAAAGCAAAGAAGGGAAGCTAGGTGCGCATAGCGATGATGACCTTGACAAGTGGAAGAGGAATGTGACGGATGCCTGGCTGGCCCAATGTCTCTTAAGATGGTCGTGACACTGCATGTCAGAGGTTCGCTCAGAGGTTGACATTTTACCTCTGATATGACTTTAAATAGGCCTCGTAGCCCCAAACAAGTCCAGGAATAAACTCGCTACCCATGATAGCCCACGTTATGATATATTACACGGCTATCTATGTCATCCAGACCGAAATTGGTTAGCATTACAGATGGCGGCGGAGGCCATCTTGAATTGTGAGAAATGCTGAAGCTTGGAAACAGTAGCAGCCAAGCTCATCTGGCTTTCCTCATGATATAAAGCATGTTGAACTGGAAAAGTTTGGGGTAGTGACCATTGCAAAAACACACTTCCTCCACGAAACCTGACCATGGGAAGGCCCATTTAATTTTCGGATCAATGGGCGTTTTGGACCTCCCTCGTTTGACGCCCCCTCCGCCGATGTGACTTCTCTAGTTAACCCCGTGTAAGCGTAGATCAAGCGGTCGAAATCAGATCAGAGAGTTGATTCCGGTCATGGCGATGCCTCGCCAAACGGACCGGTGTCATAAAATAGTGACCCCTGCCAACCTGACCGGTGTCACAAAATGGTGACTCCCACCAACCTGGCTAGTAGCATAAAATAGTTACTCCCACCAACATGGCCAGTGTCATAAAGTAGGTACTCCCACCAACCTGGCCAGTGTAAAAACAGTGATTCCCGCCATCCTGGCCGGTGTCATAAATAGTGACCCTGCCAACCTGACCGGTGTCACAAAATGGTGACTCCCACCAACCTGGCTAGTAGCATAAAATAGTTACTCCCACCAACATGGCCAGTGTCATAAAGTAGGTACTCCCACCAACCTGGCCAGTGTGAAAAAAACAGTGATTCCCGCCATCCTGGCCGGTGTCATAAAACAGTGACTCCTGCCAACCTGGCCGGTGTCAAAAAACAGTGACTCCCGCCAACCTGGCCGGTGTCTTAAAACAGTGACTCCCGCCAACCTGGCCAGTGTCATAAAAAAGTGACTCCCACCGATACGACTAATACTGTAAAGCAGTGACTTCCGCTGATGAGACCAGTGGCATGGAACACACTGCCACCTCGCATCCCTTTTGCATTCCATCGTTTAAAGCCTTTGGAACTCAGGTAACAGCTATCTAATGCGATTATTTCATGATTCAGTTAACGTCATGTTATTCCAAAAAAGTTCGACGCCAATAAACCACCCAACGGTGAAAGCCTCCCGCTTTCGATCGCAGTCACCGGAGGAATTCCTACCAACAGAAGCGTGTTTTGATGAGAGAGCGCCTACTGGTTGTTGACCCTTTACTGGGCTCACTCTAAAGCCAAACCCATATGGCATTGCTGCGGCGTAAAGAGTAAAAGTGACGTGCTCCTTACAAAGAGGAAGATGCCAGTGAATTGATAGAGTAAGTCAAAATATTTTGATTGTTTTTTCCAAATAGCTTAGATGGGCGGCTTTGGGTCCAGAGCACCTGCCAAGCATAGCTAGATGCGTATACCTCTGAAACCATCATCCAAGTTGA